TTAGCTATTAGATTACAAACCTAGGGAATTTTTGTTTGTTTCTTTTGGTAGTTTTGTCTGTGGATTTTTTTAAAGCCACCATGAAAAATTATCTCTATCACAGACTATGCAGCATCCTTATCAATAAATGATACTTATGGTACCAAAGCCAGCTATGAAAAAAATAAGGAAAACACAAATAGCTCACAATTTCTTCTCTAATGGAATAATCAGCGGTCTCCAGGTAATTCAGCATTTCAGCCACAATCTGTTGGGCATTGCTTCGGTCACACATTGCGTACAGAAGATCTACAGCTCTCTGTCGTACACTTACATCTCTTTCAGTCTGTAAAAAGACACAGTGAAAGGTCAAGGTGATTTCTTCTTTATTTGGAAAGTATATGCAACTTAAGAGATGGAATTTACTACAGTCCAGTCAAATTTAAACCAAGTGCATTTTTATCATCTTGCAGATTATGAATGAACTTACATATACCCTTCACATAAGCTATGAGTTTCTCATTCTGTTCTCAGTTTCTGTCACCTAGAAAGAGGTCACTGGAGTCTCAGAACTTCCTGCTTTTAGATAACACCACAAGAATTCAAATCATGAGGTTTTGTTTCTGTAGCATACATATTCAGATCTGCGAGGGTGCTAAAAGAATGGAGGAGTTTGTATAGAACACTCCAGTATTACCCTAAGTAGGGTGAGTTTGTGGTCCACTATGCACTAATCAGCACCACTGGCCATAAATGCACCAGTAATTTGCTGATATTGTTAAATTGTTACCAGGCCAATGGGACAGTAGCTACCTGCAGGTTTAGTGTCAGGTATGCCTTGTAACAACAGAAGCCCAGCTAGAACAGATATGTACACTGAAGTTAGACAAATGTATTATTAGACATCAATACAATTCCAAGCATGAGCTTGGAAGAAAACAATGCTTTTAAAAACCCAGGTGTCCAAGTAAATTCATACACAAATCAGACTTATTCTTTTGACTTGTGCTTTGCAACATAAACACGGCCTGGGAACATGTCTTTCTGGTTGACTGTCTTTACAGTTCTGCAGTTTATGATCTGCTCTTCTGCTTCTCATAAACTACCCCATTGAAGGAACAGTGTCCAATACCAGCAAGACAGTAACAAAACTGTCTCCCCAGCATTCTCAGTTTCGAAATTCCACATTTTTAAAGAATTATTCATCCTCAGTCTACAGCTTAAGCAGACATCATAGTGTTACAGGGGACATAGCTACAAGTATCAGATTCACCAGCAAGGCGCAGAAATAAACTGCAGCTGACCTCCAATTGCCAGCACAGCAAGATTTTGCTGGATCAAAGAAAAAAACTTGAGCAGACTTTGAGAATAACTCATCTGGTCCCCAAGTATTATAAGCTTAATTGGGGATGGGGAGATAGGTTACTTGGGGCAGTGCAGGAGAGGGTATTGAGGCAGGGGACAAAGACAACACTCAAAAACAGATCACACACTTAAATATTTACCTTCAATGCATTGATAACTGTTTCTATGTGTGTTTTCACAGCCTCATGTGAGAATTCAGAGCTGGCAAGCGTGCACATGCTTTCCAGTGCTAGGTAACGCAAATTAGTTTCTCGGTGCTGCAAGAACTGACCTAGCTGGTTACAGGCACGGACTAGTAGATTTGGCTCACTGCACAGAACAGGAGAGAAAGTGAAAGGGTTAAAAGCAACAGGTTTGAGAACACTCAATACAGAATACTATTTTTGCAGTGGAAATTTCTTAAAATGCCTCAAAGTGTCTGCTAGAATGCTTTGCTAGTGAAATGAAAATTCAGACACTGAGCAAATAATCTGTGGGATTAGAGCACTGGGGTCAATACAAAACACCAAATAAAGAAGCGGCAAAAAACAAAGCAATAAAAAATATGCTGACAGCAACATAGTTCATTAATACTGTTCAATTCAACTACTGTGGTTGTCTTCTAATCTAGCAAGCAACTTCATATTCTGTTCTTCTCCCTTTCCTCCCCCAGTAAAATTCAATTTACTGTTGAAGACAAAGTCACAGTTTTTCATTTCAAAAACCCCCCTCTCATAACAGAAGTGTTCTCACAGCTCACCTGTCGTGATGTATAATTAAGCTTATTGCCTCAAACAGGACAGCATTCTTCGCATTTGAGTGTTGTACTTTTTTTGACTTTGGTGGCTCCTGTGCTTTGTTAAGAATAGTTTCCAGGCATTCTGTTAGACGGCCACGTACCGCAGGGTCTTCTGGAGAAGAACAAGCCGTTGGACAACTTCATCTTGCTCAAAACCCTAATCTCAACCTTAGGCCTTTCCCCTTGCTAAGTCTGAATAAACTCAAGTATTCTGATACATTAGAAACATTTACCCTCCCTCAATATACAGTTGGTAAAAGAATTCTAAGCAACAGTTCTATCTGGGTGAGAACAAAAGCCAGATACAATCTGCACTGTAATATATTTCAAGGCTTTAATATAGTTGATAACATTAAAGAATGTTTAAAATGGAAATTGCCACTAGTTTGGAAAATGTCACTGGTTTGACATTCTGTTAGAATTAAACACAACATAATTCAAAAGGCCATGTAGCTTAGAGCTATCTGAAACACTCAAGAATAAAAACCTCAGCATCCTTGTCTTAAGACAATGTGCTTGCACTCCAAGTTATGGTATAACACTGCAGCAGAGTAACTCTTTGGAGTCAGTGTACTGCATAAGAGCTGACCACTGCTGTGATTTGTGCATTACCTGGAGGGGGATAGCACTGTAACAGCCTCAGAAGTTTCACAGATAGCCAAGGAGCAGGAACAAAGTAGTATGTGTAGTCCTGAAGATCTGTTGATGCAGAAGTTACAATCTGTAAAATAAACAGACAGTATGTCAGCTACTCAAGTGATCCACAATCATTAGAAGGAGCCAAAGAACAGTGTAGTTCACCTCTGACAGAGGCCTGCAAAACTCCACCAGCAATGTTTAATTCAGTAGATTAATTAGGTGCAAGTTTTCATACTATGAGTATACCATAAGAAACCCTAGTAATAGAAATTCAGTTTTACAGATACAGCAGTCTAGGAAGTCTCTTCCTGAAAGTACACTTGCTTTTCTTAGGCATGAAGATGACCATCTTGTTACACCAGAACAGTTAACCAGAAGCTTGACTTTCTTTGCATCAGCAATTCAAAGACAGATTCAGCCAACAGAAGGCAGTCTGGTGGCTGCTTGTAGGTGAGCTTGGAATTCAAGTGTAGGATGCTATGACAGACTGAACTAAAGAAAGACCAACTAACACCTTCAATAATATCCATACACCAAAGCAAAAAGGAGATGGCTTTCACAAAAGAGGCTTACATGCATAATAAAACGTCATAAGGATTAGACTAGGTTTCACAGGGAGCACCCCTCTCCATAGATTTCTTTTCCCTCTTTAATTCTAGGGTAAGCATGAGTTTGGCATTAGCTTTGCTGGGAATAATTCTACCTTATTCTTGCTACTCAATAATAGAACAGCTATGCACTTCCCTCAGCACTCCCTTGCTTTTAAGTATTACACAAATCTTCATATTTGAAAAGAAATTAAATTTCTTTGAACTACAAGTAATTTTAGGGTATAAGACTACATAAATCTGGGTCTAAAATACATTTCTGAAGTAGCATCTTCACATCTTCCATACTTTCTAAAAGCAAAAGAAAACAAACCAACAAAATAACCCCAAAACAGTAACATCAGTTTTCCAGCAAAGAGATGCTAACTTACAGACATGCCCCTCCACTCTTCTCTGCACCTCCTGCCCCTGCTTAACCCCCTACACCCATTTAAAGAATATCAAATGCTTATGATTATCAACCTAGCAGCAGCTCAAAAGAATAGGGAATAGGAAGGCAACTCATGTTGTTAGAAGCTTAGATAAAGTTCAAGCTACAGTCTGTATTTTTGAGGGGTTTGTGCAGAAGTCTGTAGGATCAGTATTTGATCCAACTACTCTTTGGTGTTTATAGTAACAAAGTGAGGATTAAGCTCAACTGCATCATGAGGATCCTTTCAAACACAAGTCACTGAGAGAGACAGAAAGACACCTTTTTGCTACATAGACCTGGAGCATAGCAGGGGTTACACCGACAAAGTTTGGGCAAGCCAAGACAGCTTTCTGTCCAGGTAAGCAACAAGCGTTAAAAGATGTTAGGTGAGTCAGCTACATGAAGTGACACTGAATCATCTTCACATTTAATGGTACACTAAACTAATCTGCCTCTACAAAGCTGAACAGTAAGCTAACCTGATCTAGAAAGCTGAGTAACTAATCAACAGTGAAGAATTATCAGGGTTATCATTGGACTCACTCTGCTTAATCTAGACACTGCCAAAGAGACTGAAGTCTTAAACTCTTCTGGGTTCTTCTGTGCCAAAGTGGTGATCAGGCTTGTAGCTGCAGTAACCACACCCTAGAAAAAAACCACACCAACAAAGCAACACAATTAAATTTTGTATCAGTTTAAGGTGCTACCATTAACACTTTTCATTTCAACTGCTTTTTAAGAATCAACAAAACTGAGTTTATCCCCATGACAAAGCCCGGCATTAAAAAGCCTTTTATTTGGCTAGCAGCTACACTAATTCCACACCTGCAGAATCCAACATGATACTGCCATGCTTGCAGAGCATTTTATGCTATTTTTGTGTTAGCTTTGCCTCATATTTGGATAGTACATCTAAAATAAGAGAGCTGTATTAAAATAAAGCCTGGACACAAATTGTCTTGTTTTAAAAGAGAAGTGTGAGCAGAAGTAAGATGCAGCAGATTCATCCAGGAAAAAATTCTCACAGCCCAACATAACAGAGGACTTTGTATAACACAAACATTTTATATAACTGCAGACTAAAACACTTATTACTGTTGAAGTATGGGTCTTATTAGCCTTACTTTCATAAAGTAACTAGACTGGGGAAAAAACCCCAGTGTCTTTTATCTAGAACAATGGGTCTTTTGAACCAACAAGATGAGAATGACAACACGAACACCACGGGACAAGAAGTCCAAGCACAGACAAATCAAGTCTTCCATCTTTAGTGCAAGTCTAACATTAAAAGGCCTAGGAAAATTAGTATTACACCTATACAGTATGACTTGGTATGATAACAATAATTTATTTATAGCCAGAGCAAAAGAAGAACTTGTGCATACCATTCTTCTATCTCCAAGAAAAAGGCAAACAAAGGTTTATTAAAAATGAATATACACAGCAACTAAAAAAGGACAAAAACTCCCTCCATTTTCTTCCCAAAGCCTGAAGAAAACAGCAACCCACTTGCTTGAAAGGGTCAAGAAGAAATAAATTGTGCATTTAAGAGCAGATGTTACATAATTCTCACAATTCATACACACTAGGCCTGAGAAGCACAATGAAGCTGATTTACCAAGTGCTGGTCATTGAGGAGATGCACCACCCTGGATGTCCAGTCTCCCATGGGAACAAGGTCAGGAGAAGTTCTATATAAACGTAGCAAGCATAAAGCAGCACTTTGCTTCACACTATCCATAGTGTCTCTGCAAGACAAATATGGATTTAAAATACAGTGGTTCAGTCACAGCACTACCTGCTGGACAGCAATATGCCAATCCTCAAACTGACTCAGCATCCTTGCCCAGGTCACATCTTTTCAACAGAAGCTGAAACAGAAGTTCACTAAATTCTTCCTATGTTCAAGTATTTGTTCTTAATTTAATCCAATAAGTTTAACTGGTCAAGTTTTCAACCATTACAAGTGTCCAGTAGCCTCTACAATTATTTGTTACAACTTCAAGTGATATTTCAAATCTTTTGATCAGAATTGAAAGTTTATCTCATCTAAGCACCAGAAAAAACTTCTTCCAGACTGACCCAGGTCAAACAGTTAAGGTACACTGTGTTATGAATGCTACCAAAGCTGGATCTCCTGTATAGAAGATACAAATAGGTCCTGTATATCAGATTCAATCATTAACTACTCAACAGCTTCCGTACCTATATCTAGCATGCAAGTCTGCTATCAGCAAGCATGCAAACCACAAATCTATTCACCTCGCCATCTCTGCTGCTGGCACAGGAACAGACTATTTTAAGAGCAGCATGCTACTATTCTAGTTCAGTGAACTCCCTGTCACAAAGTAGACAATTAAGCATTTTGTGTGCTGCACAAACAGAAGCTATAAAATGTACAGAGCATTACCACTAAAAGTTTTAAGAGGCCAGTTTACAGTGTGCAATCCTGATTAAATGTTTAGAAACCTCCACATCCCCAAAAATTCAGCCCACCTATTCTTCACGAATTTATCACTTTTCCATGAGATCAGATTGCATCTCAGTTAAAAAACACAAAACAAAACAAACCCACAAACCTATTCCTCCCCTGCTTCCAATTTATACTCAAGCCAAAAGAGCTACACTGAAGCTGCAAATGTAACTGACAACGCTCATTCTGCACAGGTCACTTAGATAGGACATGTACACATATGTATTTCATACATATTATCTTAGAAATGCAGAGGGAATGAGACCTTGAAGAACATAAACAGAGTTACAAGTCTAAGTTCAAACAAGTTTGAACTGAAGGTGCCATGCTCTGTCTGCAATTGGTGATCTTAAGTGAAATTTTTGGAACTTTTTAAGGTTATCTTATTAAAACCCAGGACTCATCCCTGCAGTGTTGTCTCCACTGTGCTACAAGGAGAATAGCATCTGGCAAGGGCAGTGCTTGACATTTAGAGTATTAATACAGTTCTTATGCCACATGTCACTTTTTATATTAATTTAAGACATTAAGTTTGCTATAGAACAAGATCCATGCATATTCTAAAATATTTCATATCCATAAGAGTCTAAACACACTGTTTACACTTGGACATTTTAAGTTTCACTAAATACATTAGCCCTAGAATCACAAGTTTGACTTCACACTTACTTAACTACAGTTTCAGACATTTGCCAGGTCTGTTTAGAAACCTCTAGCTAGGTACACAAATTGCTGTTTACATGGCTAGCAGAGGAAGCAAGAAAGCCCACAAACCAGTAATGTGTTCCTTATGAAGTCAGTACATTTAAATAAGAGTTTCAGTTTATAAAAAAAATTGTAGTATAAACATCTATTTAGGTTCATTTTTTTCTTTCTTTCATCAAGAGAGGCAACGAAAGTAAAACACACATTTCAGGGGTGTTTATTACTACACATTTATACGGAACAAAAAACAGATCAGAACAAAGCTGTAAAAGCCTATTCAAGATACTGACAGTCTTAATTTCCATGTATTTCTACACACCTACAAGCAACTCCATACTCAGTTAAGTCAAAGTACCTGCAGCCACTGGAAACTCTCACTCTACTGTAAGCCCAGGGCTGTATAGCTCTAAGCATGGATTAAGCTGCTGCAATGCAACTGAGTTGTTGAAAAGGTTTATTGGTACTGTACTTGAGAGAAGCATCTCATACTCACCCAGCCACAAGTATTTTTGGAATTTCTCCAGCAAATGCTTCCGCCATCTCCCTGCTCCCCACGTTAGCAATACAGTGCAGAGCAAGCCCCATGAAGGTGGGGTTTCGGCTGGCCAGGTCGTTCTTGATTGCATTGTTTATTAAGCGGATCAGCTCACTGTTAGAGTTCACTAGGACAGAGATGAAGAGATAGCCCTGGGAGTCAGAAAAAGCAAAACGAAAATTTATTTTAGTTGACTTAAATTCTGCTTTCTGTTAATGACACAGGTCATTCTTTGAGACATACAGTTCTCCTCCAATACTATACGGGCAGAAATAGAAATTTAGATACAGCAAAGGCTAGGAAGATTAAGTAAACAAAAATTTAAGTTTAGCATTACCCTAATTTATATGTTTTTAAATGTTTCATCAGTCTATTTCAGCTTACACTCAAAATACCATTTTAGATGAATGGGGGCAAATCAAGAATTCGGTTTATTATTCAGACACTAGTATGTTACACACATCTGATAAACACAACCTTACCTAGGAAGACAGAAGAAATATTCTGAAAATTAGAAGTTTATTTACCTTTAAATGCAAGAGTCAAGGCAGTTTCTTAACAAGAGTAATAATTTTATGCAGAGCACACATTTTAGCTTTTGCAATTAGTTCAAGACTCCCTGGGCACAAAGGTGTTTAGATTTCAGAATCACTGCCAGAGCCAAAATAAGGCTTTAAGCCAGTGCAGGAGGAATGAAGCAAAGTCCTCTACAGACTCTAGAGCTGAGGCAGGATATTAGACAGACCAGTTTATCTTTTATAGAGCCCAAGTTACTCACAATCTGTTTCTCTGTGTATCTATTGGAACTGAGCAGGTTTACAGCCTCCATGTGACCAAAATCAATGTCATGGCCCAGAAGAAAGATGAAAAGCAGTTTGCAGACATATTTTTTCTTACTGTAACCATCCAGAGCCTTGTCACCTGAAAAGTAAGGAAACAAACAACAATTAAGTCTATGTTATGCCTATACTTGGTTCCACCCCCTCCTCAGTGGAAGTGAGGAACCTCATCCTATCTTACAGTAACAAGACTTACATTTGCACCTAGTAATTAACATTGGTATTTAATTCCATATGTATTGCCCTACGGAAGAGGGACAAATTGAGGGTTCAGCTACTGCAGTACTTGAATTTCACAAATTTAAAATTTATTTCAGCTGTTATTCACTCTGCAGTGAACAAAATGATAAATATATCCCTTTACCTCCAACCTAAAGCACTATAAGTCTTTATATAATTTTGTGCTAAACAGATTCAAGTTACCACAAATCATCATCAGATGTCAGACAATCGAACAACTTCTGGGTTTTAAAAAAATTATTCCCAGTCACAGAACACAAGTAGCCGAAAATCTGAAGATTCTTTTGTTAATTACATTTACCATTCATTATCTAAATCCTAAAGGATGGTCATAAAATAATGGTATCAGCTAGTCCCTGAATCATCCTGCAGTATCCTTAAAGTATGATCTTACTAAGAGGCAGTGCATATATGTTTGCTCAGTGGAGATTTTGCTGTTTCTCTTAAGAACAGCTATGCCTTTCATACACATGTTCTCTTCTTAAACCAATTATCAAACCTTTATTGCAGTAACAGGTCTCGATGCATGTTCTCAAGTGCACCACTGTAGAGAATTCAGTAGCAACAAAAAACCCCCAGCAAGATGTTTTAGAAAGATAGAGTGACAGATGTATATCCCAAAGACATGAAATGAAATTACCATGAGAACTTTAAAAGTGTTTGTAGATTGCAAGTATTTACAGGTGTTTCAGTTTTAGAAGAAGAAGCACCCTAAAGAGGTTTGGCCTTACGTTGCAGAACTGCTGTATGTTAGAAGCTTGTAAAAGCGACATGGAGCAGTACAGCTCACAGTTCATCGGGCAGATCACTGCTTCTCCTGAAGGAAAGAACTGCATAGGAACAGACACTGTCTGTATTACATTCTCACCCTACCTCAAATCAGGAGATAAAAGAATACCCAGTAAATTAGTAAAGCCTGAATGCTAGATAGTTGAGTCGGGGTAGCAAACTTTTGATAGATGCTGCTGCCTAAAAGGCTATACAAGCTCCTTAGCCTCAGCATTCTGGGCCCAGAATAACTAGTCTGTCACATCAATGTGTATTCCTTAGCAATGGGCAAGTTCAGCCAGAACAGCACTGCATACAATAAAGCTTCCATAAGATATCCCTTACTCATCATCTTTGCAAATAAAAGCTCTGTCAGGATTTTTTTAAAAAAACTTCAGATTTATGTAATAGGTAGTTAAATATATAATAATCTTAATAGTACAGAAGGTTTTTTCCTTCTTCCTACTCATCCACTGATACAGAGGGATGCTAAATTTCTCATGCAACATGAATCTGCAGTTCCCACAGATTTCATACTACATTCAGTGATATTTTTTTTTAACTGGTACACATAGTGTTTCAGTTGCCAACAAAAAGCTTCACCTTAAAGCTATTTTTATGCTGTGCAAAGAGAAGTTGTCTTCAGGTAAGCCAATACATGTCACATTTTACTTAGATACAGGCAGCAGCACTACTGAAGATACCCATGACAGTGAAATCCTGCTACACTGGATCCTGTCAAGATCCTCTGACTACAGCCAGCTCTGCAGAAAGATGCTCAAAGACATGTTTTCTTCAAGTCACATTCACAGTTTGCTGCCATAAGGCTATTTTCCTGATGACTCAGCAAACCTATCTAAGGCATTTCGCCTTACTAGACATCTGAATAACTATTGGAAGAAGCAGAGTGAAACACCCAGGGTGGAAGGGGTTTTTTCCTTTTTTGGAAGCAATATGGCCAGAGGAAAGAGCAGATATTCAACTATGTCTGCCTACCTGCTGTGGCCTTCAAACTATGGCTTAAGCAGCAAAGGAATAAAGTATTCTGTATTTATAACATAAATATTTCCTGCTATCCTATTTTCCCAAATGGCACCCAAGAGCACAAGTTCTTCCTATCCCATCATGATAGGAAGATGCAGATCAAAGATTCCTGGCCTCTCCTAAGGAAAGGTAAAAACCCAAACAAAACCTCATAGGAAGAGGCAGAGAGACAGTTTTAGTTTTCTAACATTTTTTTCAGATGCTTAAGAAGAGTTTGTAGAAACTCTTAAATTTGATTTAGTCAGTAATCTACATGAGATAGAAGGAAAAGAAACAATCAGTGAATAAACCAGCAGGGTTTTATATTACCCAGCAACAAAAAACATACCAAATCATGATGAGAGTGGCCAAGTCTACATAACTGAGGACTTACTATGGTATTGGAAGGCATTAATATCCTTAGTTGCTTCTCTGAGATAGGCAACAGAAAGTAACTTTTACATGAACTTTACCAAAAGTGAAAACACCCCAACCAGTCTCCAAGACCAAGTTCCCAGCAGGCCGAGAGGTTGAACTGCAGCTTCCCATTAGTGTACAATGCACCAGCAACATGCAGAAGTCACAAGTATAAAACTCAATCTCTTAGCTTCTCAAATTACTCTGGTGTTGACTTTGTGAGACCAGAAGAGAAGCAGGCATACAGAAGAGAAGCAGGCATACAGAAGAGAAGCAGGCATACAGAAGAGAAGCAGGCATACAGAAACCCAATTGCTTAATGAATAACATCAGCAGGTGAAAGTACGAACCACATCAACTTTCACAACCAACTATTTGTCATGGTTTGGAAATTCCTTTTAGTTTTAGGACACAGCTATTTAAAGTATTATATCATTCCAAGACAACAGTATTTTAAGAGCTCAGATTAGGAAGGTCTTTGGATCTTGGGATATTTGAAGAATTTTTGATGGAAGCTATGCCAGGCAATTAAACTCAAAACATAGCACCACTTGACTAAAAAGCATTTCCTTCTCCACCATGTGGTATCAAAGAACAATATTGTAAAATCAGTACCTGAAACAACTATTCAGATAACAGAAAAAATAGTACACTGACTGCTTCAAAACCTTCTGTCCCTTGTATACAGCACTGAAGGCAGTGTGACAGTTCTCAATAACAAGCAAGCTTATGAACTAAGCCAAATAATTACTAGAGCTCTTCAAAGTGTTATTAGTTCCCAGCAATAACAGAATAGTCTCTTTTAAAATTTTATTATTTAATTATCCGAGCAATTTGAAAAAAGAGCAGTGCAGTCAAAGATCTCACAGTAATTGTCTAACTCCAACTGTGTTTTGAAGAAGTCTGTGATTCAGATTTTTATTGAAATTTTAACTATTCCTCTCCCTCCTGTGTATCATTTACATAGAGTTGTAAAGGTTCTATTTTAAACATTAATAACCAGTCTCATTGCTTAAGTATGTGCTAAAATAGTACAGCTTCCCCCAACCTCAAGCAAACATCCGAACAAGAGCAGAAGGAAATGTCACATGTTCTGTTATCTTTATTGCAATACACAATCATTTCTTTTAACTCAGCTCATTTTCAAACGCTTTCAGGAACATTTGCAAGTACTGTAAATCAAGTCAGCAGAAACAGGAAGCATTCACAACACATGTCAGCAGGTTTTGAGCACAGTGGGCATTTCAAAGACTACTTGCTTTCCCTGAAAAGTTTATTGGTCATTTTTTTAAGAAAGAAATTATTAACAGCTGATCAACAAATAGTACTATTAAGAAATAATTACTACTTCCACATTTCTGTGCATCACCTCCCTAGCACTGTCACACAACTTTTGGGTTTCATGGTTCATACAAATCTTTCACACAGGCCTCCAAAAAGGAGGAAAAAAGGCACAAAAGTCTTATGAGTATTATTTGGACCACAAATTAAAAACCAGCATCTGCTTTTGAATCTAACTCAGTATAGTTAAAAACCAGCTACTAAATCTGCTATCAGCCAGAGGGGTCAAGAAAGCAGTTGGGATGTTTGCTGGGGGGGTAGAAGATAAGGAAGCCTGACAAGTCAAATCTCACTAGCTTTCAGATGGCTGATTGCTACCTTAAAAACGTAGCTTTTAAAACCACAGCAATGGCCTGTGCAAAACAGAATGGACAACGCTGTTTCTTTGCATTCGGTGTGCTTCCTTTCTAGGCTGACACTGACTCCTGGTCAGGCAGCTGGCAGCAATCCAAGGATATACTGAATCAGAAGGCCACCCCCATCTCAGAGGCTAAGTGAATTTACTTTTTATGAACGTAGCTACACTTTGAGACAAGATCTGTACTTCCTCAAGAGTGACAGTCCAAGCCTTCTACATCAAACACTGAGTATTTGTGGCAGACAACCCATACAAATTAATAAACTACTACCTAATTACTATACTACTACTGCCACTAGAACAGAGTAGTACTAGAGCAGCCTTACAACTCAGGTCATATTTGAAGCCTGATTTTACTTTCAACAATTCAGTTTGTCAGTGAAGACACTAGTATTTTACTGTCTGATTGTCTTCATACATCTCTTAGATGATCAGAAGACTGGCCCAGATTAACCAGACCCATCTTAAATACAAAGACTACGGTTTCACAGCCTGTCAGGAAAGCAATTTACTGTTACACAGCTTCTGTTTAAAACAGGTACTTAGAGGCTTATCTTAACTTCCTCCAAAGAGTTACCACGTATTTTGGGACAACAGAGAAGACTTGCTTGAACATGAAAAAAAAGTCAGCTGAAGTAACAAAAAACCCCAACCAAAAACCAGAGATTAACAACTGACATTGGAGCACTTTTGCATGAGCCAAAATGAAGATACACTAGCATGTCTGAAATCTAGCAGCCACACTTGTAACACAAACAGCAACCAGAACAAAATTAAATTCTAATGCCAGATAAGGAAAAAAGTCTGAATCAAGCAGACAACAAAGTTCCTTCGCCTGTAGAAACAGCTTATAGATTTGTGAGCTGTTTCATAAATACACAAAGTCTAGTCTGAGAGATCAAAGTGATACAATTTAATAAACTGGTTATTTTTTCACTCACAAAGCAACTACTACTCTGACAGTCAGAATTCCAGTTTGGCTCAAACATGGGAGCAAAATCAGCTTACAGTCTGAATACGTAAAACAAAAGGAATAGCATTTCTCCGCTTCACATTTAACTTCTACAACTTCTGCTTTATCACACTGGTGTCATTTCTCTCTCTTACATTCTTATCTCAATTAATGCAGAAGCGTTTAAAGCAACTGTCAAGGACACACTGACCTCAGCAATGGAGCTTCCTCATGCATCAACAAGAGACAAAGTCACCTTGAGTACAGAGATTCTAAATTCCTGCTGAGCTTGGCGCACAGAAGCTAGATTAGAATCCAAAGCCACGGCATATGTTCCATCAGTTCAGGAAAAGTATTGCTTTTCCAGAGATGCATAGCCTTATCCCAGCCTGTTAAATACAAGGGTATTTTAAATAACAGGTTACCCAAATATAAGGCAGGTAACAGGCTTGACAGCTACTTGCACAATAGAACACAAGTAGAAATATTCAGCCTTTTCCGTAACAGTATAAGAATATCTTGCAAGTTACATGGGATGTGGGTCCAGATACTACAACAGTGTGCTGAAGCATGCAGAGATCCAGAGATACACCAGTCTCTTATGCTGTCAAGAAAGAAACTTATCTATGTCAGGAGGCCTTGTTTCTTACTCGGACCCTTCCCTGGTTACAGCAATGTAGTCACTCCAACAGTTGCATCTTTGGCCAGGCAGGGCCAGTAACCCAGGACACCAGCATTCACCATAACTGTTTGACAGGGGACTCCATCTTAAGTTCACAATCACACATTTCTCTTAATCCAAACTGTTTAAAAACATTTTTTAAAGTCAGAGCTACATTAAAAGAAACTGGGTTAAACCAATAATAAAATGCATATGAAGATCTCTTTATTTTTATATAGCCCTTCTGCAAGGAACAACCACAGGTCCATGTGGGACTTCTGCAGCAAAGAGATACAAAGCTATCAGTTTCTCACACTTTTAAGGCAGTTACACAACAAGCTGTCTAAACTCAGCTTCTTCCAAATTGTGACATTTATGTTTTTGGTTTTGTTCAGGCTACATCGAGTTACTGCCTTAAGTAAGATTTTCCACCCAAAATCCATAGAGAATTAGTAATAAAGTAACCATAATGAAGATCAGCTATGTGAAGGTTTAGTCGTCTTTCACTCAAGCTACTAAATGAGCTTACACTGATACTTTTTCAAAACTATTTAAATAATTCTTAAAGGATGCTACACCAGGTATGCAGGTTAAAGTTATCACACCACTTTGCTGAAAGCACCTCCATTCTCTGATCATTGCTTGATCAGAGTTTCTGCACAGCCAGAGACTCCTATGATTATTTCTCCCTTGCTTCATGAGTAAGCAGAGAAGAATTCACTGCTCATGTACTTTTAACTATTTTTGTACTTAAGTCACAAAATACCTTGCAAAACTTGCTATTCTGACATTCACTTATAGTTTCACCCTGCCAAGCTTTCTTAAAGCTAGAAATACAGTGGCTCATACTGCTGCATTTATAAAGACATTCACAGAAAAAAAACCAGTGGAGACAAGCTCTACCATGGGTAAGGTAGTCATTCACCAGAGGTGACATTAGCAGCCTTCTGAATATACATTCATAGACTCTTCACAGGGCAAGACTCAGGATAACTGGCCTTGACAAAACACTGAACTGTGTGTCAGTGTTCATTCTGTAATCCCCATGCAGGATTAACTGCACTTTACCAGTAAGTGCACTTGGAAGGCATAAATATAATTAGCATTAACTTTAAAGGCTGCATTGACTGCTGTGGTACCCAAAGAATTCACAGGTTCATTTTTTTCCCACTTGTACGTTCACAAAAGTTAGAGGGTGCAGATGGACCCAAAGGCAGTTTCACTTGTGTTACTTAAAATGTGTAAATCATCATTTTTTCTAGAATACTTAGCTTTCACATGGATTAAAGGTTTCAATATAGCTTCCTTATTTCATCTTGAAGAATAAAGCTTTTCGCATCAGGTGAAAACATGAGAAGTTGGGCAGCAAGTGAGATCCAACTGCTGCTACCTAAAGTGGATTATTTAATAGATTTGATCACAGTCAAACACTAAAAACTGGACTACCCTGCAAGTCAGTAATTAGACAGCCTTAACCACTACAGATTTGTCTGCAATTCCGTTGCATTCCTTTACACCAGCAGATTTAACTCTAGCAGTGAAGAGAGCAGGTCTGACAGATGTTCATGCTTTAAGCACACCTGAACATACAGTAGGCAGCAAAAGGAGCTTCAATAACTTTCTTTTTTTATACCTTTTGAAATTTTCAGGCCTTCACTGCTAACTGAAGACTTATGCTGATGAAAACCTCCACTTTCATTAGTGAAAATTTGGTTAGGTTTTACAAAAAAACTAAAGCTTGCCTATTAATCAAATCAAGATAGAAAAAGTAGTATAGCCTAAAGTTAAGATGCTGAAAGAACTAGATTTCTGTGTTAGTGTGACTGCAGCAAGGCTTCCAGCTAGGCATTCTCCTCTAGGTGTTCTTGATGATGCAAGGGCATAGGTGGAGTAACTGTTAATATATCTTTATAAAAAACCTGTCCTGTTTGAACAGCTAAGTAAAGAATTTAGGTGTTGAAATGAATTTCAGCAACAGCTCATAACCAATAATCTTGCTATCTGACAGCAAGTAGTTTTAAAAACAAAGACCAAGAGAAAACAAGCAGTCTTTGTGCAGTATCTTCCAGATTAATCAACTTAATGAAATTAGTTGAAAGATAAACTAACATGAAACTTTGATTAAATTCTTATGATACAGAAATTCCTAAACAATTTTTAATTAAACTCAGCCTCTTTATCTGAAAAATATCTTTAAATCATATCTTTGTCTAATATAGATTTTGCCTGGAGATTAAACTGTTTTATTTAAAAGTTACACCTTTATGCTTAAATTTACTAGGCAATAAGAGGATCCACTTTGATCATACAGCTGGAATTAAAAAAAAACAGCTGTTACTCTTCTATGCAGGTTCCTAGTAGACCCTTGAACTACATCCTAACTGCTCAGTGTGCACGCATACTTTGCACATGAAGGCAGTATCTACCGGTCACTGGAAAACAGACACAAGTGGTCACTGTGACTGGAAAATGGACAAAAAACTTTTAGACTTGGAATGGGTAATAAAGAGTAAGTCTGTACAACAGACAATGCAAAGCCTGCTACTTCTGGCAAAACATCAGTGTTATATGAAAGTTTTGCAATGAAAAGAAATTAAAAAACAATGTGACATCAGAAAGAGGTAGATAAATGAAAGCTCCTTTTCTTATTTAATCTAGAAAAATAGCTGTTGCAATTTCATTAGTTACCCTATGACTGAAGTCACCAATCTGCATAAAGTATGCTGAAATTTCTAAGAGAAAAACGTTAGCACAGAAGCATGTTATGGCTCCTAATTCAGAAGAATTTCTTAACCTTTCTTGAATGCCTTGCACTGTGGTTAATTTTCCCCTTCTAAGCTGTTGTTGACACTTGTGTTTTTACAGGTCCTCACATGCCTTTAAGTGACATACCACTTAAAAGGTAGCAACAGATCACATGGAGCTCAGGAAAGTTATTTGTTAATGCACCGAGTATTCCAAAGAGATATGCTAGTCTAAGTCAGGATAGCTACCTAAGGTAAATGAGTTTAATACAAATACAGCAAACTCTAAAGCCACATATATGACCTCCATGCTGCCCTGCCTTATCTAACTGCACACATAGCCTCGTATCTATTTAACCAGAACTTGCCACAGCCACTACTGCTGGAACTCCACTTAAAAGCATCCCAACTACCCCTCAGAATCTTTAAAATTTGAAAACACGTACACAACTTGAATACAGCTAAGAGATGAGTTTTACCTTGTACTGTTTAAAAATGAATTGCTGCATTTTGGAATTAGTTGCTGCATATCCTTTCTTTCATATGAATAATTTGTACTGCTGTTGCTTGTTGTCAAGATGTATAGCTTCATCAACTACACATTTTAATCTTAATTCTGCTAGAAGACAGCCTAACCCACTACTTCCATAAAGGGATCGGGGCAGAAGACAGAGGAAGGAAGAGAAGATTAAACAGACTCTGTTTTACTGGAAATAATCACATCCACCCACATATCTTAAATTATTCACATCCTCACAGTCTTCTGGAAGCCAACAGACTGAGTAGTCACACGGTTGAGAGGCAAAGTATTAGAAATAGTTTGTGAACATTAGCCTAATTCTTTGATATAGGAAGGAGTTTCCTTTTGTTATGGCCAAGAATCACAGGTCTGTCAGAATGTTCTGTAGTTAAGAGAATATTTTCAACAGTTATTCTAACACACTGCTCTAGCATTTTGCTTGAGTTAGCAGTTGAGAAAAGAAGTCCAAACATGTAAAAACAAAACCTCCTAAAATAATGTCATATGGAAATATGTATAGTTTAGTATGATCAAGTCACTTACCTTTAAATTTTGACCGAATGTTTGCTAGTTCCTTATTTATCCTCTTTATCTCTGCTTCTTTACTTTTGCCTGAAATGAAAAGAACACATATCAGGACACGGTGCTTTGGACAGCCCTCTGCCACCCTAAGCTTCTTTTTGGCCAACCATGCTGTGTGAACATACAAACATCATATTACTCTCTCTTTCCAGTACTGGAACTAAAGGCAAACAAAGGCAACTTAAGCATCACTTTATACAGGAATTTGAGAAGCTCTAAGAATCTCCCTGTTTCAAGAAGCTTTGCAGACTTCAGACAGTATCACTTGCATATAACCTGAGACGCCTCTGCTACTGACTTCCACAAACACTTCAGTTTTTCTATTCCTGAAACTACCAAGAAAAAAACAAATTTTACATTCAATGCAATTACTAAGCTGACAGAGCTCAGAAGGAAATAAGTCTTCTAAGCAGAATCTTATAAACAAGCAGCTTGTGTTATTCCTCACCTTCAGGACAAGCCAATTTACTGTTTCTCTATTGAATGGTCATTCAGTTCAACAGCTTTAAAAACATTCCTAACAGACTGAAGAGGAAAAGCAGTAAACTCACAAGTAGCCCAGACTCAAAGACACCTCACACAGCCAGGATACATACATAATCTCAGACTTTCTATATACCTCATGAAAGTAATCTGAAAACCAGAATTATTTAAAATCCACTTTACAAGCTTACACTTCTCAGGACCATCAGTATTTCATATCAACTTTTGATTCCAAGAATAGGTATTGGGATTTCTAGTGCCAATTCAAGTTAGATATTCACAGAAATAGCTGCAACTTAAATTTTGATAATTCAAACTTATTCAAGTAATATTTGCACTGCCAAAACCAAAGCAGCTTATTACTCTTAAGCATTTAAGTTTTTAGTGACTGAGATTCTACAGAGGTCTGGGTCCATTATATCCTACATGAGTGAGCATGGAAGGGTAAAACAGCCAACTCAGGCATTAGACTCAGTTGCTTGACATTTGAAGGAAGCAAATGAAGTGCACTTCAGCATTGCAGAACTGGCCATTTAGTTCTGGTGTAAATTCAGACCTGTACCTTCTCAAACTTTCAAGAAGTCTAAAACTTTGTCCATTTTCCAAAAGTTTCAAGGAGTTTCAGGTGTTCTAAAAACATCAACTAGCTGCAGAAAATGACAGCTTCCTTCCCTCTTCATCATATGTATTTGGCTACAAGGTTATGAATAAACACTCCCTAGCCCTAAGGCCCAACATTATGAGCAGTGGGGATCACATGCCCTGTGTTCACACCACACTTTCCCCCCACCACCACTCCGATCACAATTACAGCCACATCAGGGCAGGCAGGTTATGTGACAAGGCTTGAAGAGCGGATCATGACCAGCATCTGAAGCACCTTCAATCTCATCCCTTTCTTCCACAGAAACAACTCAAATGCCCAAACTCCTGTGTCACTCTGTGACTGTTAATCTTCCCTTTACGATTCCAAAGATGATCTAACAGCAGGCCTGATGAGAGGTGATTAAGTAACTCAAGGAAACAAGTGCCTTAGGATAGGTTAATAGCAAAATATTTAAAGTATAAGAGAATCCCTTGCCAAGTACAAACAAATCCAGATTTTGTAATTTATTGATTTAGATTAAAAAAAAATCAGCACTTCTGAAACCAACTCTGGCATAAGATGGAGAGAGCTGGTTTATATTAATATGCCTGTAATAATGGCCAGCCACAGGAATACAGACATGTTAGGCCCAAAATAGAAGCAACTATTACAGTTGGCCTAGTCATTTTAACAAAATAGCTACAGACCCTACATATTTGCTTAGAATTGAATTTTTCCATTCTACAACAGTGTTTTATAAGGGGCACTGCACAAAAGACCGAAGTGCAAGGTTTAAAACAGCAACACTATTGTATAAATGAGCAGCAGCTCATACAATCTAAGACCTGAAGTGTCTTCTATTATAGATTTTAGATTTGTCTTAACTGGATTAGATTATTTGTACTGTGCACACAGCAGATACTTAAGTGTTCGCTTCTAAGGCACTTGCCAGCATTAGGAGTTCATTACCAGACTGAAACAAGTCCTTTGCTCCGGGGTCCACACTCTGAGAACAGGGAGCCACATTAACATACCAAAAGGGTGCAACTGTTTATGTAAATAAACAATCCTCCAGTTTTGTAACCTATTTCTTAAGACTTGAAAACACTTCCTTTATTTTCAGCCATTGGTCTGCTCCTGCTGAAAATTTTAATTTCGAAAGCTAATAAATTATTTTCTCTTCTACCAAGAGAAGAGCTCATTAAGACATTACCACTGAGTCTAGAGATTTCGTACTTCATTTAGATTAACAGGGCAGATAATATAGACCTCAGTCTCAGATATTGCTAACCTGAGTAGGATTGGAAGCTAGGTCCTTGCTCTATATCTTTAGCTTATGTTTGTAACAAAAGTGAATTGCAATATTTACTTTGAATTATTAGCAATTGTTTCTCTAACCTCAACGAGTGTGGTAATGATCACAGATGTTAAAAATGGAGGAAAGGGGAACAAAAATATAGATCAAACAGCTTTTCTTATCCCAAGATGAAATAAAGGCCGTCTTTTTTTTTTAATCACCAAAACCTCTCAGCAAACCTTTCAAGCAGCATTATCTACCTGCAATGTTCACAGATTACCAGTTACTGCTAGAACCTGGGTTCTTTTTGTCCTAAGCAGCAACAGAGCATTAAGCAAAGCCTGACTAAAATACTTCAGGAATCTGTGAAGTCAGCACCTTTGGTAGAAATAGTCTGCAGCTTCAGCAACACAAACATGAAAATCCCACCCCCATGCTGTAGCAGTGAGATGACAGGAACATCCACATTAAACAGCAAATTCACATCTGAAGGTTTATTCTCCAAATTTAAATACTTGCTTAGCATATGAACAAAAGCCTGTTTCAAATAATTCCTCCAGGTTGTTCTATTTTGAAGGCAAACGTATGATCTCATTCAGACCTTGACCAAGCATAAATAGCATAGCAACTAGCTGGTGATAAAAGTTTAACTCCATATATTGGAAATCACAATGAACAATTAAGTTGTCACCTTATTATTGATTACAATCTATACATGCCTGAAAGTGAAGTTTTAGAGAACAGCACCAGCACACCAAGCATTAAACGTCACTGAGGACAATCACATAACAATGTTTAGGATAACTTATGAGTTAAAACCAGGCTGAAGTATTTAAAACCAAATATCCTTAACTCCAGCAGTTATATTGAAGGGTAACCTTACTCCAACTCGATTGACTGCTTACATTAGAGGATGACAAAGCAACCCAAAATCTCACAGTAGCAGGTAGCTTCAGCTGTACAGGAAAAAAGAAAATAAGAGTATCATAAACCAAGGACCAATTTTTAGCTAGATCTTCTGTCCGACTGCTTGGGGGAGGGAGGGTACAGTTAAAGGAAATATCTTTAATCAATTGAGAAGTTTTCATTACATTACTCAGCTATGGTAACACTCACTGAATAATTTCTACATGCATATTTCATTTTTATCATCACTAGAAACACTTAAGTAGCCTTAAGGAGAGTGAAAAAGGAAGATGGGCTACTAGGGATGACAGCTGAAGGAGTGCTGTGCTGCGGGACTAGAGATTTACATTTCAGAGCTTGCAAAGGCAATTGTTCCACCACACTTCCAGGCTGTTGCACAGTTCCCACTTTCATGAAATTCTCAGAGCTGTACACCAACAAAATGTTCTGTAGTCACGCCATTTAACTCGGAGAGGCTTTAATAAAGGTCATGTCGTGTATACAGACTGAAGGGTAGGACGGAATTTAAGCCAGAGCACAAGAAGATTATGTTCCATATGAGTTCAGGCCACTTCCTTCTAACTTTCACTTATTCGGACTTCTACCAGCTTAACAAGACTATGATTAAATATCCATAACAAGTTATTAAAAGCAGTGAATGCAAGCCAATAAGTTTTGGCTTGCTACTTTGCCGAAAAGACACCCACTGTTTACAGCCTTATAGCCCTAGTACAGGAGTGCTGTGAGTCTTTCCCAAGATGAGCACCCGAGCACACAGATACCCAGGCAAAACATTGTCCAAGGTGCTTAGGAGTGATTACTTCATACTTGGCAGTTTGTCAGGCTTCAGACTCCACCATGCTGCCTACTGCGTTCACTAGGCAAGGTAAATTTAGTCTGCAGAGCACTATTATCTTTAATTACCATCTTGTTTAACAAAGATAGAGTAGGGAACATCAAAAGTCATGCAGCTCATCAGAGAACCAATTACTATTCTTGCATGTCCTAGTAATCCAGGCTACAGTCAGCATTTCAGTACTGCATAAATAACAGCTCCATACCTCAGTTCGGAGCTTTTGCATTACAATCTAAAGAAGGAGAAAATAAGTTACAGGAAAGTGGTTTGTTGAGTCCATTCCTTTGAAAAGAACATCTGACATACCCTAACTTGGCAGTAGGGCTGCAAGATTAAGCAAGTGCTTCAAGGTGAAAATTAGTAGGCTGCTTGTGGCTCACTTAGTAACCTGCTCCATCAGGATTAGCTTGTTGCTACACTAACTGCAGACTGCCTAAGCCATGTTTCAGGTACAGAGCACATCTGTGCTGCCCAGAACTGCTACAAGTTCTTAACTTTCACACAAACCACTTAGAGTCTGATATATTTCTGACAAAGTCTACACATTTATTTCCCAAAGGAACAGAGAAGCACTTTTTCTTTCAGCACCTATACAAATACCAAGCAGAGTAGATTTCTGCAGGCAAGGTTTTGAGACATGGGCATACTGACCACAGTTGAAGCAACAGAAAAAATCACTTTACAAAAGTTTAATGTTCCCAGTACTCATCTGGCTCCAATCTGCTTAGAATCAGCCACCAGTGTAATTGAGCCCCCCCAATAATTCATTTGTTTTGAATGTATGTACAGGTCAGAACTGCTGCACCATGTTACCTCTTAGCCTTACCTGCCCTGTGGCCATCTGACAATCCATGATTATAGATGTGCCATTATTGGCATGAACAACTATAAAGCATGTTGGG